TTCATTCAAGTAATTCGCATTCGTTACGTAGTCATTTCCATTACTGATGCACCTCCTTTGCTTCTATTTCTTTTTTTATTTGAATTCTCAAGTACTAATTAATTCATAGTCATACCTATGAAAACTAAATAAAAATGTTTCGCGGAAATAGAACATACCTCACTGGGCGTCAAATGTCACCTATGCGCACAAACCGAGCCGTTATTTGAAAATTACGACTGCTATTAACGATTTCCACTGAATGTAGAGGTTTTATATTTTAATTCAACAATTTCGTCAATGTATATTTGTGTTTGTCGATTGAAATGCACAGCGTTCAAGCAGTATTTGTCAGCCATCGTCTTTATCATAATGAACTTGATTTATGACACCTAACATTCATCACCTACCGCAGATGAAACAGTATTAGACCTGTAAACGGTAGAAGAACTGATCTATTTCAACTCTTAGTTGTTTAAAGAGAGTAGTTTTATTTCGAGTTTTCCTGGGCTAATTCTGCTATAATAATTCTGCCTGTTTTCTCCCGAATTTTCCGTATTCACTACCATTCGAAACTAATGGTATGTAGAAACACCATCCCCATTTGTTTTTCTCTCTAAACTATCGGCACGACTTCAGTTTCGAGATTCGTTGTAAAAGCATCATACAAGTTTCTAATTTAAAATACTCAATTTCTTGAGGCACATCGCTACCGCAGATGGAATTCAAGGCGGTTTTCGGGCGGCGACAAGCGTGGGACTGCGGAGCGGCCGGTGCGCCGAGCAGTGAAGTGAGAGAGAGATGCCGCAGCGACAGGTGGCCGCCGCGCGCTTTCGAAAATAGAAGAAACCGCTTATTGCCCCGAATGAACGCGAAATCAGCGCAGAGCGGCGCGCCGCGGACCCGGACTATCTTCACCTTCTCTATCGCCCGCCTCATCGCCCATTCGTTTTGGGCGGCGCTTTTCGCCCCGCCGCGCCCGCCTGCGTTCGCGGGAAATGGGCCCGACCGGCGAATCTGCGAAGTCACGGCGGACGTCTTCATTCCTCTTACCGAACGGACACACGTGCACCTACGCTGCTTAGAATAGAACGTGTAATAAGGAAGTGCAATTCTGGCGTGCTTTGGGATCCTCTACCGAATGTGCTAGCTGAATCTATTTTGCTGCAGTAGCGATGTCTTTTTAATTCCCAAAGCATAATTTGCGGTATCCAAATTATAACTGTGGGCATCTTTATCGAAGTTTTCTTAAAATAGTCCACTAAATATTTGTCCCTCGGTTCCTCTTATGACATCTCTTGTACTATCCAGTAAGAATATTACCGTATTATTATTTAACTTTTCAAGATGAGTTGGGAAAAACCAATCAACTTTCTGCCAAAACATTTAGACCTTGTGTTTCTGTGAGGTTATATATAGAATGGAGCCAACAGGCAAATGGTGCTCTATAAGCGTATAACTTATCTTATTAAATTACGTATACTATACAATATATAGATATATATAGAGAAATGAACTGACATGAGTTATCGAGTCGTTGTAGAACTCTAATTTCGGCATTATCGGTCTTTAATGTGCCAATGCGATATCTCATAAATATATTGATCTCCTGCGACGAGTGGATTTCTCAACATCACTAGTTATACGATACAAGCTAGACAGGCATGCAAACTCTAGCGCGCATCTGTGTGTGTAAGACCTCGCCTCTCGCGAGAAATTCATTTTCTCAAACATCATCGCACGAGTGAAGTTCGCGAGTAGAGGCGGAGTGGCAGATTGTGTGTGTCTGTCTGGGACGTGCACAAACGTATTGTAAGGAGAAGCTATACGTGGGAATTAGTTAGGTTGTGCCTTGCAGCGTCCCGCAAGATTTTGTCGATCTGGTAGTCGCTAATCGAGAATTGGGCGTATAACCACGATGGCGATATATATGAACTGTATATCCTGTCATTACTTTTAGTGGTGCTTTTCTCCAGGCATAAATTTTTGGCTAAGACCGGACCCGATCGCATATGGTGAATTGCCGCGCACGTACGTCCCTGGATCAACTTGTAATTACTTTCAGGTCTGTAGTTAGATGCACAACGAACTCGCAGGAGGGGTACGCTGGAGAGCCGCGCACATCATAAAACAACCGGGGTGGTAATAGCCCTCCTTTGGATTCACTACCGACAGTGCTAAGTGATACGAACACAACAGAGAGAGGAAAAACAGGAAACTAAGGACAAGATTTTACTGCTGACGTGAACCGGTGACTAGAGATATAGGTTTAATGTGCGAGCATCTGTCGTGTAACATATTGTTGCGCTTGCATATAGCCTCGTATAGCGAATTTCTACTAGCCATGAAACACTCGAGTTCCGTCAAGTTTTTTCTATATAATTATAATGCTTTTAACCATGTTTGTTGTTGCGGTACGCGTTGTTCGTAGTATAAAAGTAATTGCACACTTGATGAGTTTTCGGCAATCTGCAGCTAATAACATTGCTTGTTATTGCTAACCTCTCGATCTACAAACAAGTGCGAAAAGCCCAAGTACAATACACGTGGAGTGTGTTGTATTTGGGCAGTTGATATAGCGATAGTGTGACGTTTAATCACTGCCTACATAGATTTCAAAGCATTGCTCAAAAACCTGAGTTACTGTTCCGAACAGAGTGTCTTTTTCCGGTGAGCGAAGAGTGATATATCTAACGATGCTCATAATCTATATCTCATACAATAGGTTCTAGATATATTTGTGTGAAATAGTTCGTTCTGGATGCGTTCAATAACGTGTCATCAAAGCGAAAGCAATTAAGTCATTTAACTGTGTTTACTATAAGAAAGAGCAATCTAGACTAACATAGTGCATCGTGTCAAATAATAAGTTAAGAGTTTACTCTTGAAAACTTAAAGTAGTGTCAGCGAAGTCAGCTGCGTGTGACAAAACGACTCTCGAGATACGCAAGCTCACGTCTGGGATACACTCTTGTTGTCCATTTTTCGATACGAGCTCGTATGCCTGTCAACTTGGGTTCAAGAAACAACTATTAACCTAACAATACTTCAGTGTAACAAGTGATTTGGACTTATGATATACTTTGCATAGACAGTCCATATAGGACTCTAATAAGGAACAATTATCAGTCCCCTCCATTTTCACAAAATACTACACATCACGAATAACAGCCGTTAAGACTTGCACGAAGATCTTTCTAAAATATTTGACTGAATCATTTTACGGTCAACGTCTCGTTCAACCTGGCCCCAAACAACACCCGTGTTCACTTAGCGCTGTCGAGATGAAGAGACACAAAGGCAAGTGTATTACTCGGCTTCACTCTTAGAGCAAAACTAATAACATAACCCGCACCAAAAGTTGTAACGATATTTATGAAAATACCCAATCGTGTCTATGCGTGCGTTCAAAAGCTGTCACCAAATGTCACAAACACAATATGATACATTCTCCTATGATCGTCAAAACTGGACTTATTCAGTTCTCGTTGTTCTATAACTTCGGTGTAGGGGATTAACGCTACTTTGATGAATTAGTTTCGAGTATAACTCGGAGCTACTACTATTAATTAACTATACGCTTTAAAGAATATTGACAGGCGTTAAATCCAATTACATGACTCGAAATTCGTCTGTAAGGAAAATTACAAAACAGAAAAAAAGAAACAGGAATACAGAAACCCTGTTAGCACGAATTCTCATTTAACACTAAGTAACACAAAATGGACGCGGCAATGGCAACTAACTAATACACTACTTCCTAAAATGTCTGTGCACAGTCCAAGACAGACACAAAATGACCGTCACTCTTGTTTGTTTAATTTGATTTTCAAGGGAAAGGCAAATTGGCATTTCTCTTGTGTATGAAAAACAAACAATGAAGCAAATTGCAATTAGACAAAAGCAGAGGTCAATTTCATTTCATTCTGAGCTATGAAGTGTTGCTTGATTGAACATTTTTTAAAAAGTTACTTAAACATTTTGCCATCTTTAACATAACAGCGAACACGAATTTTATAACATGAACCCCAAACCATTAGATTCGTGGAATTCTGTTACGCGGTTTTTTAAAAATATACAATTCCAACTCAATGCATTAGCAGCCAGTGGCCCGTCCTGCAATCCCACGGCCGGCAGAGTGCTCACCGGGTGCCAGGACGCGTCGTCGTCTGGCGGCGCGCGTCGGGCAGCGGCGGGAGGCGCCAGGCCCGACACGATGTCCTGCGTCTGGAATCCTCATGGCGCGCGGGCCGGGGCGGACGGCAGGGACCCGCGAGCGCGCGCGCGCTGCCGGCGACGCGCCCTGCTCCGCCGCGGCGCTGCGCCGCCGCCGCCGCCGCGGCCACCGACGTCGTCGCCGTCGCGACGCTAGCCGGCGCCAACGCGGAACCCTCGAAATATCCACGTCCGGTTGAAACCGAAGTCGCGTACGCCACAAGGCAGGACCCGCACACGCGCACTATACCATGACGCGACTTGCTGGCCACGTGGAAAGCGCCGGGGCTGGCTGGGGGTCGACGGCGGACTTCTTACGAGAAGGAGCAGGAAGAGCTTTCACCGCCGCCGCGGCGGACACCACGACTGCCGCGCGCGCGCGCGCGTCGGCGCGGGGCGGAGCGGAACGCGAACGGGGGGAGGGAGAGGGGCGGGGCCAGTGCGCGCACTGCATCCACACAGCTCTCTTGTCCTTTCTCCGCGCCGCCAGAGGCGCTCGCCGCTTCCCGTCCCTCCCCGGCATTCCCCACTTCCCTTCCTGGCCTGTCAGCAGCGACGCCACGCCGTGGTGGTAGGGTGGTTGGTGGTGGTGGTGGTTAGCGGCAGGTGCCAAGCGGCGGGTGGGTGGCGGCCAAGGCCGCCCAAATCACCGGCCAATCGCGTTGCGCGGCGAGTGCGGGGCGTTCTCCCCGCACCTTTCCCGGGCTGACGGGCGGTGGACGCGCGCCCGCGCGCGCCAAGGGGGAGTGGCGGGACGCCGGCCTCCTCTCACCGAGCGCGCACTCACAGCACGCGCCACTTGCCCTTCACTCCTCTTCGCTCTTCTCGTGAAGAGGCGCACGGCGGTGCGGCGGCCTTCTGCCGCGGCAAAATCGGGTCAGCCCCTCCGAGGTCAAGGTCACGCTCACTTCAGTTGCGGCGATTTCTTTCTTCTTCTCTCCTCTCCTCATCCTCGCGACATAATCACACGGCGTGGCCCGAGGGCGGCGGTGGTTGGACGGGTCGGTGACGACAGGGCCGCGTGTCTTACCACATGGCGGCCCTTCCCACGGCCGTCGCTGCGCGCGGGGGCGCCACCGAGGACCCGGCGCGCGGGGGAGGGTGCGTCGGCCGGGAGTGACCACGCGGTCAGTGAAAGCGCCGCGGGCTGATTCACGCCGCAGGTGCACCCCCCCGCCTCCCGCGATTGGTCCGGAGATTTGCGGACGGTCGCCCGCGGTGGAGGGGCGAGGCAAGTGGACGCCGCCCGCTCGCCTTTTCACCCGCCGCCCCCGCACCGCCCCGCCTCGCCTTCGCCGCGTCCACGCCTTCCACAAACAATAAACACTGCAAACATTACCGGAGCGAGGGGCGGTTACCACCATTGTTCCGTGCGGCAGGAGAAGCCCTGGGCCGTGTGCCCTGTGACGTGGTTTGCCGGATGTTAGCTCTAGCGCTCAAGGTGGTGCAATAAGAGAATACTGAAGTGAGCGGTTGGATTTCATGCGATGTCGATCGGATTATGGGTTGGTGAAGACAGGTTATCAAGATGTAACTTAAAAGTTTGTAGGATTATTTGACTACTTCGAACATAATAAGAAAACCGGGTCTCAGAAAAGCAATAATATACTCGACATATTTAGTACGAGATTACCAGCCATTTTCATGAAATGTTGACGCCTCTACCCTCTTAAAAACCATAATAATGGAAATTTTACCAGAAGAGAAGGCAATATGCAACAGGTATGTGAAGATAAACAAAAAATGTTGATTCAGATTTTCAGACAGATTCATGAATCAAGAACCGTTTGTAGAAACAGGGTCGAATTATACAAAGAATCTTGCGCAAATAACCCTTGTTGATCAAGATCTTTTTCAATATATTCGTGGTGGACTTCGAGAATCTTGAATATTTTTAATAAGGAATAATCGCAATTTCAAAAACTACAATAACGAGACAAGGCTACAAAATTATTTTCAGAAAGGTACATGAAAGATATCTAGAAATACGGCTTAACAGAGTATAAAATTCTTCCCCCTGGTTTATAAAACCCGTTAACGACCACACGGACGTGAGAGTTATAACAGCCCACGAGCTCCATTTCCGTAGCCCCCCGCGGGTCAACCAGCGTTTTTTTCTTCGCCTTGACGCCGCCACGCCTTACGAAGTGAGGAGAGCCTCCATACAATTGAATAAAACGCCGGAAGCTGCGTGCGGCGTCGGGGCGCGCCTTGATGGGCGGTGGTCGCCCCACGCCCTTGCGTCGCCAGTAAAAACCACGCGCGAGCGAAATTCACGCCCTTCTATTTTGATCGACGCGCTGACAAACGAAACGGGCGGCATCTGAATTAAAGCTTTCGTTTCTGCGAACTTTCTTTGTTAGTTTCACTCCCTGTGAGCGAAGAGTGGTTGTTCTTTGGAAATTGTTTTCGGAAATGAGGAAGTGCGGTAGGCTATAATGAATAATCACAATCACGGTAATGGAATATTAAAACCGGACATTAACGAATGTTAATAAGTAGTAACTCCCGAGAGTGCGCATACTGGCATGAATCAAACAAAATTACATTACGCTAATTTGTCTTAGATCGTTCTTAAGAAATTACTAGGTTCTATTACAATTTCTCCCGTTTTTTGGCCTAACAAAAATAGTTCTTCGTGTTTGGTATATACTTTCTTAGTTGGGCGAAGGTAACTGCATATTTCGTTAGTAACGGAGCGGAACGTTATTCTTAGTAATATTAAAGCCAAGAATTTATTGAAGTTCAAATTGAATACAGTACTGTTTTATCTCGAAAAACATACCACTCCTACAACCCCAACAGTTGTCATGGGTCAACAGTTGGGTCATGAGATGTCGTGGTTCGATTGATTTAATTATCGTACTCTAATTGACCTATCTATTTTAGCGTTCTTTTTTACCAGCCTGGCCGTTTCCGCTCCCAATTTTCCATGGCCTCTTTATTCCCATAGATCGTTCTTCCATTTCTCTTTTCCCATGGCTCAGTTATTGCCATGAATCCATGTTTTCTCTGTTCCCCTGTATTCTTCTTCGATTTGGTAATCCACTCCTAAACTGTTGTGGAAGTCGTATTCCCATTTTAACCCTTTCTCATATGTCATACCATTTTAGTTGTTTCATTTGGAATCGTCTCGTTCACGTTTGTTCGCACTTTCATGTTTAATTTTATTATTTCCTCCAACACGAGAAAGGTTATATATCTTCAGCCAGAATATCATTCTGTGCTTGAAGCTTGTCTTTCAAATTTTTTTTGTTAGTGTCTAGACTTCGGCCCCATAGAGTGTGTAACTCCGTAAACTGATACATTGTATCTAATTTGTTATTTAATCTGGAATGCAATGCTCGCAAAGCAGTTTTGTTCCGTACGTTTAGCACGGTTCGCCATGTTATGTCTAAAGGAAGAAGAAAAACGAACGGCGCGAGATTTCGGTCGTTCCCTCACCAGGTACCTCGACACAAGCGATTTCCCGGCATCGTGTGATGCACGTTTCCTGCGCACCCCATTGTTATTCCTCCAGCGCGGCAGGGGTACGCTGTGCGGTGCCTGCTGCGCTGCGCTTGCGCCGCGCTCGCGCGTGTGCAGTGGGAGGCAGAGGCGCGCTGGCGTCGGCAGACAAGCGACTCCACGAGCCGCCTCGTCGACTTCCGGCGGCCCACGGCGCGTCCTTCCGGCGGCGCCGCCGCAGACGAAACGTCAGCGTCGGCGCCGTTATTCTCTTCTCTTCGCGCCGCTCACCCCATCCCCCCCTCTCCACCCATCCCACCCCTCTAAACTTGCTCTATTCATGGCCGTCTAGCCGGAACGGCGTGAAGCATTCGTAAGACGTTTTGTGCACGTTCATAGCGTCAGTACTATCGATCTTCCACGCATGCGCAGATTCATAAAGTGGTGCGAAACTGAAGTGGCATGAGCAGAAGATCGATAGGCTTTAACGTTCGAGGTGGCACAGACTAATCCTTATCGTGATAGTTTTTTCGAACGCATCCACTGCTTCGCCATCTTAAGGGCTGCGTGTTAGCAGAAAGTTTCCAGTATTAGAATCTTGAAGCTGATGAATTTCGTTAAATAACTTATTTTATTTACGAAAAATGAGATCTTATTTTTATCAACTTAATTATGAATGTGTAAAAATCAAAACTTATCAGAAGCTGGATTTAATAAAAGAACGATTTTCATATTTTATTTACCTTATATTAAACATAACGTCGGTTGTCCAATTCGTTGAAAAACTCGCGAATGTCGTTATCGAAAGAGAGATCCGACGAATTTTTAGTACAAGAATTTTCACACAAAGTCAAAGTTCTCTTAATTGCGCTTTCCTGGTTTCATTAAATAGTTTTAAGTGTATAAAAAATAAGAAAATTAAATATAATAAATTTCATGTAAAAACTATTTTTTCTTATTTAACAGTAATGCTCAGAACAACTTAACAATAATATGCTTCGAATTCTATATATCGTTTGACATTACAGCGTCAGAAAAAAATAGAGTATTTTGATGAAGAAACATGTTTCGCCAAATAATGCCACAGGTGCAAGCTACACTAACGAAACAATTAAAATTCAAACCGGGCAGGTGGGTGGCGATGTGATGGTCAGGTCCCATGAAAGCATGTAGTGAAAGGAATAACAGAAAATCCTTTGTTGCCGTTCCACTAGATCCCTTTGGGCTGGGGCCAGCTTCCCTTCTCCTCGTTTTGAAGCAAGAGCACGACCGGCTAAAAGTTTGCGTATTCTGAACGAGTCCATGGTTTTATAAAACCGTTTAACGTGAAACAAACACCAAAAAGTAATTAAGATAATAAAAATTTAATTCTAAAACTATTTTTGTTTCCGATTTTAACATTAATACCGGTACAAAACTGCAATGCCCTCCCTTCCTTTCGGCCACTTGCCTCTCGCGTCGAAGCAAGAGCATGACCGCTGTTCCGTTTCCTAGCCACCACGCCTTTCGATCGATTTCCTCCGCGCTTAATTGGCCCGCCGTCGCCGCCTGTTGCACGTAGAAAGCGCCACAGCCGTCGGGAAGGTGGATAACGTGGCTGTGCGAGACAAGTGTTTATTTCATGAGTTTCCGCGAGCGTCAAGCGACATGGATGTAACGGCGTAAACGCGCAACGACAGTAATGCCACTTCCCGAGCTAGGAGAACGGTTGTTCCGAAATTGTTTTTTTGCTCCAGAATAAAGGGGAGGGATTCCGGATCTTAAATTCATACTAAAAATCTCATGTCAACTGAAAATTAAATATATATTAATGATTAATAGGTCATTACCGCCTGACAAAATAAATGGAAGCCTCAGCAAAGTTATTTTCCATTACAGAGATATTTTAAATCAGTGAAACGGAAACGTTCATTACATAGCCCAAAGAAGGGTGGAAAAGTACCCCCAAATGCAAAAGCAATAATCGCGATACTAATGAAAGAATAAAAAGTGCCGGAGATTTAAAAAATCAGTCTCTAGGCTATCTGTTTTACAAGAGTTATAACGAGAAAACACGATTTTCATGTCTTATTTTTTTCAAAACCTTCTATTGCATGGTTATCCCAATAAAAAAAATTGCAGAGACGGCGAGAAAATAGTTGAATTGAAATTATTTTTCAAACCAAATTTGAGGCCAAAATCAAATAGAAAATTAGAATTAAGACATTATTGAATCTTTTTCGACGTGAAACGTTAGAAGCGTGGTTATTAACTTGTTTTCCCAGAATGTGTCTCATAATCTATAACAATTTTTTCAGAAAAGATCAGATTCAAAAACAAAAACACATATTCCCAATACATTTTATCGCCCCGAAAATTAAAATTTGTTAAAGTGATAAAATTGGGTAGAAAAAATAAAAGAAAAAACAAATGTTCGTATGAACAATACAGAAGCCACGAATGCGTCACCAAGAATTGAAGAATGGTTATTACGAGATACATCAGGCAAACGTTGAGGTAAAACCTTTAATTTTAATGGAACAATTTAATCGCCCCGAGGTCCATCCAAAGCAGATTCTACAGAAACTTCCATTAAAGTCAAACCACCACCAGTTTCAGTCCATGCCAAGACAATCTCCTAAGCAGCAACAAGCTCGTCGACCGTCGGGCATGACCGTAAGCAGGAGCGTTGTCGCGTAGAAAGTAAACCGGCGGGCAGCGAGCGATTATTCGGAGACACCGTATGAAGTGGAGGTCATTACTTCATCGGACAGCGGACATCCCGACGCGACCGTGGCGGCGGCCAGCGCGGTCGTCAGGAGCTCGACCTTGTTCGCCCGTTTTTGGCTAGGACGCTACCTCCGTCATCATCCTTCTGGCC